TAACTGTACCATATTTTATTTGCCATAACCGAGATCCTTCACTAAATGTAACCATATATTAGTTGCCATATACAGACATCACAGAAACACTTTTAGCAACGTTGGCGCTGGATTTAAATAAAATGCTGGCCCGGAACTTAATCCGGATGTTCTGGAGAATAGTCCAATATTGACGATTTGTTCCATTTTGCTGCTACTCTGTGATATGTATAATTATAATTAGTCTCTTTGCTCCCACACAACCTTCGTCGACTCAACTCTCAACCAATCACATGAACAAAGGATATTAGGCTTTTTATGAATGATTAATGCTTCAAACTATTACTGTAATGTAATTGTTCACAGTAAATGAGTCATTTGTGTACAAGTAAATGTAGTAATTACCATGAGTGTTCCCTGCACACTTACTGGCTATGCTAACATAATAACAGAACAATTATACATTTACTATTGTTGCTAACCTACAGACAACAGAAGATCAGGTGCTCAGGAAACCCGCAGGTTTACTCATTGAGAAGGTTGTTCCTCCTTTTGGGTTTTTTGAGAGGGGTTTATCTCTGCAAGTGGCCTCATTAAACTGAAGAAAGTCGCAGAGAGGCAAAGAGAGTTCACAGGTGAGAACATATAAAACTCTTCCAACAGAGGTGTCAGGTTTTACTAACTGGATAATGAGTGAAAATCAAAGCCATCAGACAGATTAGCCTCAGTCAACACAAGGTCTGACCAGTCACTACTTCAGTTGAAAGTGATTTACTGTCCGCATAAATGCAAATAACCAGAAGAAGCTATTGAAAATAAACTGACTTTCTTAAGGTAACATATCAAATCTTTCGCCTCTAGGTCTTGTAACCAGATTGTGTCTAGATCTCACTAAGGCATACTGAAGTTCACACGACCCATTAAGAATGTGTCTCAAATGTATCTTGACTTACCACTTCAATGATAACTTTCCTGCTGACCATGCAAATAACCATTTTCTTTTCCACAGACCAGAGCCAACACTTATCAGAGGTCTTGTGTTACAGCTTGACAAACAAGGTATTTATTGCAGGGCTGCTGTACTGGATTGATTGCATTAAATACAGTCTTATACATACACTATATGTAGGTGATATTGTTGCTATTAAATCGATCTGACATCTGACCACAGTGGAGGAAGAAATAGAGATTTTTACTCAAGTAAAAGTAGCAATACCACAGTATAAAAATACTCTGCTACAAGTAAAAGCCTGTATAAGCATAACAATATGCTTAAAGTACCTAAAGTGAAAGTACTCATTATGCAGCATGGCCACATTCAGTATAATATTATTTCATTTATTTATTTATTTAAAAGGGACAACATTTAACACATAAATGTTACCATTTGATGCACTGTACCAGATTATAGCTTCAAGCTTATTCGCATCTGTAGTCCCTTGGCAGGTCATGGTTAAAAACAACACAATAATAAATAAAATAAATGTGCTAAGGCTGACCAGTTTATTAGAATGCCACCAAGATCACAATACATGATACAATAATGTGTACATCACTTATAGCTGATAAAGATGGTGCCAATTGTAATGATTTAATATACTGTAGGGTAGTTTAAGCTTAATAAACTGTTATAAGATTTAGGTTATTTTTTTGTATTCATAATGTAAATATGTGAAGTAGCAGTAACTACAGCTATTAAAGAAATGTTGTGCAGTAAAAATGTACAATTGTTCCTCCATAATGTATTGGAGTAGAAGTAGAAAGTGGAAATCCTCAAGTACCTCAAAATTGTACTTAAGAACAGTACCTGAGTAAAGTACTTATTTAGTTTTGTTCCACTACTGCCTGGCCACTTCCACATGGAACCTGATTCAGTTACACTTAGCATATAGTACTGCTCCACTTATGATCAGAACATCCTGAACTTATTTCTGTGCCAAGTATGAACTGACTTTAAAAAAAGTAACACTCATCTTCTACAAAACAATATAAAACATTTTTCGTTTCCTATTGCCTCATCTCATTTACAGGCATAAAGACATTAAGTAGGTCTAAACATTTTGTTGTTCTTATCCGATGATGAATGGAGCACTGGGAGTTATGGATGAGTTAATTAGCAGTGAGAGCTCATCTCATTAGACAATGAACGGCACAAGTGCTGAGTCAGAGCTCTGATGACACATTCCTGCTTCAGCAGCTCTCGTGTTTATCGGCCTGTATCAAAGGTGACCACCTCATCGCTGAGACACATCATTATATTATACCCCTACTCTACAGCCAAACTTACAATCTTAAATAAATGTTTTATCAACTTACTTCAACACTTATTTTACTGAGTAACTGCCTCAGCAGGATTCTAGCTATTGTTTTTCTTCCTTAATTGCAAACACACCCTAAGTACTTTCAAGAAATAATCATAATGCATGACTAACCGTTGAATTGGTAAACTACTAATTCAAGAATGAACCGATGACCGTTGTGTCATCAGCCTCATCCGGGACGGTGACAAGTCGGCCTACAGATGTGAGGTTGATCAGCTGGCTCTCTGGTGCGGCCAGAATAACCTAGAGCTTAACACACTCAAAACTGTGGAGATGATCGTGGACTTCAGGAACAACCCCCCCACTCTGCCCCCCCATCACCCTTCTAAACAGCCCTGTGTCTGCTGTGGAATCCGTCTTGATTCTGGGTTCCACTATATCCCAGGACCTAAAGTGGGAGACCAACACTGACACCATCATCAAGAAGGCCCAGCAGAGGATGAAAAATCATGGGTGCCAACCTGCCCTCCATTCAGGACATCTACGTTTCCATGGTCAGGAAACGGACAGGAAACATCTCGGATCGGATCCATCTCACCCCGGACACAACCTGTTCCAGCTTCTCCCCTCTGGTAGGCGCTACAGAGCACTGTACGCCAAAACCAACAGACTCAGGAACAGTTTCTTCCCACAAGAAATCACTCTGATGAAAAGCTGATTTCTGAATCACAGTGTCGGGAACAATTCCTGTGAAATAACCCAGTAACTCTGCCTCTAATCAGCCACCTGTTTACTGGTTACCACTTATTATTCATTCATTATCCAACATGTACATAATGATAATTTTACTCCTGCATCCTTTGCACTCTGCTCATTGCACTGTTGTCTCAATCTCAATCTGTATATATGTGTTCTCTATACTGTAGCCTGTGTGTGATTTTATTATTGTATTGTAGGTAAGCACATCAGGAGCAACGTACAATCCTGAGTCAAATTCCTCGTATGCGTACACATATTTGGCAAATAAAGCTGATTCTGATTAAACAGAAACACAAAATATCCCTAAAATAGGTACAGAAAAATATGAAATGTGGTTTGGTTTTGCCAAATTCACATACAAATTTATATACAACAATCTACATATGTTTACATGTGGAGACTAAACCTAACATATACCTATTTAACAAAATGTGCTGAGTGTGCAGTCATTTTTAAAGTGACAACGAGGCAACACGAGGACTAAAGGATTCCTTGTCTGTGTTTTTTCTGCTTCCTAACACTGCTAAATTGTTGTTTTTTTTAGCAAAAGTGAACATTTTTACGCACTCTTCATGTTTACTATACCATCTATATACATTTACAGTTAGTTTTTAACATTTTGCAACCTGCTGTTCCACTCAGTCATATATCAAATTAGAGCCACAGGAAAGTTGCACTTATTTGTACTGGAGGGAAAGCTCTGTTTTGGATCATGTACTATTAAATGTAATATCATGTAATATTAAAATTGTATATTGCATGGACTCTATTTTTTTAACAGTCAAGCAAACCACTAAAACTAAAACCTTAAAATGTCACTTTACTAACATAACTCAGACCTTAAATTGTGTGGCCATTTCTAAGCTATTTTACAAAAAATATATTTAAAAAAACTTTTGATTGAATACACCAAGAATTGTGGTTTTCACAGGATATAAAAGAGGAAATTGCAAAGTTTAATATTTCACTTACTTAGTGACTCACCAATGCGTCTAATGACCACATGTATTTTCACCACAAATGTCTTTTCAGTCTGACTGATTTCCACCAATAGATTCCTGCATAAATGGTCTGATATCAGATGCAAAGTGTCTCCAATTCAGAATCTAATTAAGTTAGATCTCACTATGTCATGGAGCAGGTGTGAATCCCTCTCTTTCCACACTGTCTGCTTATCTTTGACACAGGAGGCAATCGAGCAGCAAGCCATGGTCACATTTCCATAGTACCTTGCTAACCATTTACACGTATTAATAATTTAATGATTCTGGCAATAAGACATTAAATTTCTTATTTAATCAGAAAAACCACAGGAGCTTTCTCCATATTGGTCAAATACACATCATTTGACAAATCATCCCCCCTAGCAGGCTTAATGTCTCGTGCATATTCATAGCTTTTTCAGATTTCCAATCAAAGTGGCTGGCAGGTCTCTGGTGTAAGCTGTGCCTCTCACTCCTCTATGAATCATTCATGCTGTTTAGCTCACAGTTGTTTGGGTGCATCTGGCTCTGGGAGGTATGGGGTTGGCCAAATGGAGAGGCCACATGGTGGCTCCAGATGTTTTGCTTTTGTATATGCGCAGCTCATCAAAAACAACAAGCAGTGCCACCCTGGATTCTCTGCCATCTGGGAGACACCAGACAACAGCTTCTCACGCTCCCTGGTGAATTATTGGAGGGCTCTTTTGAAAGGATATGAGTTATTTTCAGGCAATCCTCTAATGCTATATTCAGCAACTGTAACGACAGGAGCACCTATTGTGCCGTTGTTAACTGCTATGCTAGTAGCAGGCTGCTAATCTGACAATTCTTTAATCCAGGCCCTCCGCTTGAAAGGCATCCGCCCAGCTGAAGTGTCCTTGAGCAAGACAGCAAATCCCTGGAGAGCTCGGGAAGATGTTTTGTAGTTGCTGTGTGTCTGACCTGCCTGTATAAAATAAGGTAACGCACACTGACCTTGCTCTTAGGGGATCAATTCAAAAAATGATAAACAATGCTGTTCCTGCACTAACTTCAGTTTTTATTAAATTGCATCAAAACATTAATCAAAGTAATGAGAATTTTTTGAGAGCTGAAGTTCACTTTTCGCACAGAGTTTTTGAATATCTGTCAGGTCACATTACTCGGAGTGCTATGTTCTCTGCAGGCTCTTTGTGTCCAGCCCCCTGTGCACGTTGCACCCATCCCCAGATCCCTGCCACTCTCAGTAAAATCATTATTTAGTCCTTTTGTAAGCAAGCAGTGTCCCAGATCACAAATTAATCTTTCATATGTTTCCAAGATCTAGCCTTCTGTAATCCCATCTGTATGAGACACAACAAAGCGCAGCCAGAGAGCGTCCATGAATTATTCATTCATTTCTCATGAAAGGCTTTCGTTATGTCTGTCATGTTTCACTCTTGCAGGGAAAATCCATTGATCCTTGCCTTTTCTCTGACAACAAGAACAAACAAGTGACATCACATGGCTGTACATTTTCTCACATTCCGACAAATAGATCTGACAAAAACGCATAGCCAATACAGCAATGTATGATGTGCATATGTGCATAAAGTGTACACACATTACAGATCACACACTCAGACGTATTGTATGCACACACCACATTAAACACATCTTCCATGCTCTTAACCAATAGCTGCAAGTGCAACCTGAGGGAAAAGGTCTGAATTAGAACACAGCAAGGCACAGTGGATTAAGAGTCATACGTGCCTTGCCACTAATCATTTATCTCCAGTAGTATTATAATATAACAGGCATGTCTTCTTTCTGACAAGTTGCCTTCATAATTTAGTGCAACAGAATAGAGAAAACAGCATTGTTAACAAGAAAAGGCCTTAAATCACAAGCACGGAGTACATTTCCTGTGAAATATTAATGTGGAAAGTGTGTTTGTGTACAAGGAACAAAGGGCAGAGTGTTGTACATCAATGGGTTGACAGTGCTGCAGGCTCCACAGACCGGGCTCTGCTTACTCCAGCTATGGAGCATGGTGTATGTATAGGGGGTTGGTGCATGGGGGAAAGAGAGAGGGTCATTTATAATATATAGGCCTACTGGAGCGTGAGGTGTTGGGTCTGCTTAGGTTAGTGTGCATAGCTCTGTGTGGCTGGCCTTCACCTCGCTCTGAGCACTTGCCTTATTTACTTTAAAAACTTTCCTCAGGAGTCTTGTTTGGAACCTTGGGAGGCTGGATGGATAAGACGGATCCAATTCACTAGTATCTCCATTTTTACAATGATGAGCCTATTGCCTTACAAGATTGGGAGTAGGCACAACTCTCCATTTGTAAGTCACACAACCTTGTAAGTCCACATTAGTGTCTTGTTACCTGCAATGTAATGAGGTTAGTCGGGCGGTTGTCTGCAGGGTGCTCCAGTAATGCTCTTGGCTCTCAGGTCAGAGGAATCTGACTGGATCCTATTAGGAACAACATAGCGGCTTTAACTCCATTCACAGCATTGAAAAACTAAACAGACACATTTAAAAACACTGTATGTTAACTGTACATTTACTATGAATCCTAGTGCACCTGTAGATTGTCACTCATGCTTATTTTATTGTCCATTGCAGCTCTGATATGACAAGTTGCTTGTGCTGATTGTGTGTACTTGACTATGTAGATCATACAGCAGCTTGCAGGATAAGAGGGCTGTTGTTGGCCCAGGCTGCCTCCTCCCTGCCTGTCAGCGCCAAGCAGAGATGAGCTTGTGGCCCGTTCTGTCTGCTGTTAATCCTGCCTGTTCTGCTTTGTCAAAGCTGCTGTTTGAACAATGGAGCTGTCTTCTTGTCTGCTAATTTAGGAACAAACATTTGCCTGCGTAGCAAACAAGCTCTCCCAGGAAGTGCTATTAATAGGATAATTAAGCAGACGGTAATGAGCAGGATTACTGCTAATTATGACAAGATTTGTTTTGGCATTTGCCTGAGAGGCAGCGGAGTGTTAAAGTCTGCACAGGAGTTCATCACTGCACCGAGCAAGCTGGCACCTGAGTAAACACACTGGGACTCACTGGGGGTATGGGTGTGCAAAACATATGCATGTGTGTGGTTGTGGGTGGATAGGTGAAGGGTGGGGTAAACAGAGGGAAAATAATAGCAGAAAACACAGCAATGCAACACCAGGCTATCACTCTGAAACAAGGTCAATCTGACTTCATGGCTTTAAGGGGCATAAGATAACCTTGTGAAAAGTATCCATATCCTAAGACTAGTCAAAAATGCCCATCACCATTTCCCAGTCCAAACGTGATGTCATCAAATTTCTCGTTTTGTTCTGACCATCAGTCCAAAACCCAAAAACACTCAACTTACAATGTTAGAAAACAGAGAAAAGCAACCGATTCACACAGTCGAGAAGCTACGACCAGTGAGTGTTCAGTGACTTAAAATAATTAACCGATTGTCAAAGGTTCAAAGTGTCAGTACATGTTTTTCAACTGATCATGTACGCCCTATTCCCCATAGTCCTTTGATCAATAAAATACTATTTTATTAGCTAAAAGGATATTGGCACTTTTTTTCTTGTTTTAATGTGATTGTACAACCTTTTACTCTAGACAAAAAGGACCGGTAACAAAAGTAATATACAATGATTATGACATCTTATTAATGAAATACAGACTGAATAAGACTGACAGTAGACAAACTTAATGGACACACTTGTGGAACATCTGTTAATTTTTTCTAGTTTGACAGGACAATGTCTATAAAACGGGGCAACTAATGAAAATGGCTTCCATCTATTATATATCATTTTTAAAGCGTATACTTTAGGTATGTTTCTTATATGGATTCCCACATTTTGAGCCTTGTGACCCCAGATCACATCATCACTGACTTTTCTAATCTTATAAATAAAAGAAGAAAGTATATATGTGACATGTATTAAGTTGGTAGTGGTGGTATAAACATTTAAACTTTTTTTCTTCTTCACAATAAAAATGTCTCACTTGCAGGTGACAAGAAAAGAAATGTGAGCGAAGAAGCAATTCATTTTCAAAATACTCAAATGACAATAGTTTTTTTAATGAGTTTTAACTTGCTATTTTTCTGTCATTAAATGCTAGAAGAAGTGGTGATTGTTTTGAAGTATAACTTGAATGCATGTCATGTTGTGTAAAATGTGATATTTTTTTTCTCCCCTCAAGGTGTTGCTCTTTTGCAGCTAACAAAGAGAGCCAAAATGCAAATCTTCAGTTTTTACACGAGATGTTTCATTATTTTTCACCATATTAGTGTGTTATAAGTTGTAGTATTACTGTCATTCTCTCACATGATAAGAGATTAAATTAGACAGTTCTTTCCTGGGAACACAGCAGTCAGATGAATTAAACCGTGGGGTGACTTTAACCGAGATGAAACCTTAATTCACAAGATTCAATCAAAAACTGACAACAAACAAGCCTAGTTGAGGTGAAGGGGAATTTTAATGCGATTGTAGCTAAAGCTCAGACAGTGAGCCGCCTCCATTAAAGCATGCCACACGGCCCAGCAGCTCCAGATAAGACAGCTGAGTCTGGGATTTAGAGCTTTGGCTTATCGTCATCTTCACACCACTGTCTCACCAAGAGCAGAGAACATGGCTCACAAATCCCTCTCCGACTGGGAACCAAGTTTGTCTTTGGGCTGCAGGTTCAGTCCAAGTTGAGCACAGGTACGTTAATGGGTTATAACTCTCAATTAGGGCCTCGATAGCTTAGCGTCCTCTAAACACACAGCAGCTTTGGCACGCCAACAAGACTTTTCATTCTGTAGCAGAAGCTGGGATAAGATTATAGAGAGGGAGAGCTGTGTGGAGCACTGTTTCAGAAATAAAATTGCTTTTATTCCACCCAACATGTGTTCAGTGAGATTAAGGCATAATCTTACAACGTTTAATAAGAGCCCGTTTGTGGCCTTCCGGCTGAGGCGGAAAAAGTGGAGCATGCCTGCTCTACTTTAAATCCTGTTTATTGAATTATAAAGAACCTTAAAGGATCAGGAATGTGACTCATACATTTAAATATTTTATGGTATTTTCACATCAAAGCACATCATCAAGTATCAAGTATGCAGTGTTTAGAAAACTTTTTCTTTTCAACAATTTTTCAGAATTTGACTTTTTTTTTTTGTACTCATACATAAAAAAGGTACAATATCAATTACCAAAGGATATTGGTTAGAATATGAGTAATGATACTTTTTATTAAAGATTCAACATTAACGAGAAAAATGATAAAATGGTGAAGATTTGCCACTGCAACCTACATCCAAATCCCGCTATATTTTCACACATAAGGCCCTATTGGAAATCCCTAACCTCAATTTATGTAATCCAAAGCCCTTGCATGAACTTCAGCTTGAGCTCTGAATTTCAAGAGGTATTTGGAAGTTAAAGTCTCAGATCAGATTTGGACAGATTAGAATTATGAGTTGGAAGTCTGGGAGGGGTGGATATGAGGATTTGCACTGCTTCACGAGACGGCGTTGTCAGTGATAAGTTATACTGAGCCACGGGTAAGAGGATTGCCCGGACTAATCCGAATCAAAAGACATACCATGTGAATTACATCTCGAAACAGGTTCGCTTACAGAGATTAGGAACCTGCATGTAAATCCTGTCATACTCTACTCGCTGGCAGATGAGCCAGAGAGAACAAACACAAAAATGCGCTTTGTACCCTGCTGCAACTGCTGGCACCAGGTCAGCTACCAAAATCATTGCTTTCCTTGACTACAGCTTTCTTTTTGCTATTCTTTAGAAGATTAGATATCCATTGATGAGACTATCTAGGCCAGGCACACTAATTATTCACACCACATCTAAGAAAGTGTTTATACTAAGGGTTGAGAAAAACCCTCAGCTAGTGAACTGACACCCACATAGCAGCCTGCACCCCCCCCACCAACCTTCCTCGCCATTCATCCCTCCCACCATCAGCTCTAGTTCAATGAAGCATTTATTTCTCTTCCTGTTTGACATGGGTGATTCTATCAAGGCATCTGGCAGCAAGTGCTGTAATACAAGGCTTTCTGTTGAGATGTCAAAGAATGTTACTCTCTGCTGTACTGAAAGAAAAAATAGCTTACATTTTTCTCTTCTTTTTTTCCCCCTCCAGAAGTACTGAACAAACAAGACTTGTATCCCTGGCCCAGAAATGCTTCAAAGAGCACATGTCTGCTGGGACTGGCTGTGAAATGTAGAGCAGTGTTGGCTGCTTAGCTTTGCATTTCAGCCAGAGCAAGCTCATAAGAGCACTGCAGAAATCTGGGCAGAGCTGGAAACCAGAGAGAGCAGCGTATGAGGCACAGCCTCTCTCACTGCAACATCTACATGTTACTGCAATAAAAAAAAAACAACAACTGCAGTTTCATTACTTATCCACTACTCACATATTTCATACTGTCTGAACTGCATGCTCACTGCTGTGGGTAATAAGACACAGTGATCCCAGAAGGCTGTGAGCAACACAAGGCCATAGGTACATGGTACTGTTAAAAACTGATGAATAATATCATAGCTTAAAGATGGAATGAATATGTTGGTCCCTCATGTGTGCAAGGGAGATATACTATGGTAATTACCCTACACATCAAGCCTTGTGAAAAATGCAGCAAAGCAAAGATATTTTGTTGTAGATTGAATGGATGTAAATGCTGTAGGGCACAGTGTAAATGGAGAGCACTGAGACAAAAGCAGTCGGAGCCGGCATAAGAAAAACCATCAAGCGCTGGTGCAAAACTCTCTGCAACGCCGTGAAGCATGCCGAATAGAGGTCTCTCACTGCAGTATAATGGCTCATAAAGCCGCAAATGGTATTTCCACTTCATTCAGTCTCAGGGCCAGGTTCCAAGCAGCTCCTCAACGATGGAATTGAACCCATTAGCAATCGATTAAAGAACCAGCAGGCAGTCACCACTGTTCCTGCGGGGACGATGGGGTCTGGCACGGGGCAGGGGCCTGTCGGCCAGCCGAGGCTCCTGGGGGATTGAGGTTCAAATCTTTGTTTATGTAGAAATAGCGGCAAGCACTTTAACCTCGGATCCCACCCCTGTCGAGCAGATTAAGAGTCAGTCAGATTGTGAGCAGGCAGTGTTCTGGGATGCAGAGCAAGGCAGCTTTTGATTGACACATCATATTACAAATGCACAAGGTACAACACCCTCCCTGAGATAAGACGGCACCCACAGGACACCTGTGACTCCTCAGGAGACAGTGGGTTACCAATTTGATGAGCATATTCATAAGTCCTATCGAATGCTTGAGTTGTGGATGTTTACCCAGACCATGAGATATGAATGATGAACAATTTGACCTTTGGAAACAGATTAGAATTTCAATCGAGTGACCACAAACTAATCCATAAAACTATATGAAAATGGAGAGTGAAGTCATGTAATTACCTCATCACATCTTAAAATGTTCTCTCTCAGTTTTT